CTTCTTGACATTAGCAATTTAAAGAAACATTTCACACTATCTGCAGCCTTTTTGAATCTGTTATATAAATGGGCAGTAGAGCCTGTTTTATGTCCATCTCTTGAAACAGGCTTTTTTTGGCAAAAAGACAGATGAAGGTATACTGATTTTTTTTTTTTTTTTTTGTCTCTGAGGTATCATTACAATCCTATGCAATCCCCCTGCCTTACAAAGAATTCACTATACTTTACTGTGATGTTATCTAGCTGTACCAGAATAAAGGTTGATCTGAGATGTGATTCTGTCTCCTTTCCAATCCTCTTAACTTCTTCGGGTTGTCTTGACCATTATATGGCAATGGAAAGGATTAGGGCTTATATAACCAGTGCAGCAATCTGCATTTTGCCCAGGCTTCTCTACAGAACTCGTAAGGTTTGAAGTCATTTTCCCTGTAGCTAAGCATGCACATCAGCAGCGGTGTTGGATTCACTCTACAGTATTCGCTTTCCATGAACCTATGACACAAATGCCTGGGATTTGCTGTAGAAGCACCTTGCTACCGCACATTCCGCACGTGGAAGTATCACCATTACCAAGGGTGACTCCAAAGGCCCTACACTGTACAAGTGTCATCTGGCCCTGCAAGATCCTTTTCAAACAGTGCACAGAACCGGTCACCTCCACCAACATGCACAGAACTGCCACCATCTCCTCTCAGACGTAAGCAGAGAGAGTTCTAACTCAACAGACCAAAGTTTCAACACAAACACGAGAGTAAAGTACTCAGTACTTAACTACTTTGCATGACAAATTGGTAATATCTATGATCTGTCAACACTATTTCTGTAGAATTATTGCATGATATTCTTTAGATACTGCATGAAAGAGAAGTAAAATTACAGAAGGCTGAAAATGTACGCATTTGTCAGCTAACCTGCACCTTTTTTTCTTAAACATGGGACACTAGAGATAATGAAGTCTTCAGAATTTTTGTATGTATACTTTTTAACAGATATTAAAAGAACATTAACAATACTGTTTATTTGAAGAGTGTGAAATAATTTACTGTGAAACATAGTAACAAATGCATAGTAAAACTGTTTACAAACACTAATCAATGCACACTCAACATCAGTGTGTTTGTGTTTTAGAGTTTCGGTGTCTCACCTGTTTCATTTTTAAAACCTAGTGTTAGTCTTACAAATAAGACCAGAATGGAAAGAACAGGAGGAGAAAATACAGAAAACATTCTGTGGTCCTCTGACACATTCAGATTGGGAGCTGGCTGAAAGACAGAGCTCTGGGCTGTGATCCATGCTGCAAGGTCTAGCTGGAGGTTTGTGGCTAGCAGTGTCCACGGGGGTCAGCACTGGCTCCAGGTTCGTGCAGCTTGGCCATCCGTGAGGGGACAGAGGCACCTCAACAAGTTTCCTGGCGATACGAAATAGGAGAGTGGCCGACACCCCAGTGGGCTGGGCTGCCATCCACAGGGACCTTGAGGGGTGGGCAGAGAGGAGCCTCATAAAGTTCAATAAAGAGAACTTTACTGAAACAAAATCCAATACCCTAGGATGGAAGCTCAGCTAGAAAAACTGCATTCAAAGTTCTTTATCATGCATCTGCATATGTGGCAGACAGCACAAGAAGACTCCCACATCTACCAGGAAATAGGTTTTAAGAACAGGCAAGGTAGGGCAGCAAGTCCAGATAATCCTAAAGTAATTCTGTAAACTAACTTCAACCTTGTATTTGCTTCTCCACAGTGCAATTATTGCTAAAATTTTAAGCAAAAATTTTATGTCTCATTCACAGCAAGATTGGCTAGCACCAGAAGCTGGTAATTTAAGTAGTACCCCCTTGCTAAACCCTTCATTAAAGACTATTCATCTGTACTTCAAAACTAGGAACTTCTTTATGAAATGTAAACTCAGCATAGACACTGACTGGCCAATCTGTTAAGAGTTTTGTAAAGCACTCTGATTTCAGCTCCACACAGGACATTTAGGAAGACTGTTTTCATGCAATATTAATATTCCATAGACTTAAATGGTTCTAGACCCCCACAAGACACAGAGCTCTGGACTGAAGGGAAACTCTGTACTGCAATGTTGGTCCCATTTTGATTTCTAGTATTCTGTCTGTCAAAGCTCAAACAACTACATTTACTACCCATGTGAATCAGCATTACATTACCTATGTAAAGCAACTATGAGTCTACAATTTCAACTGAAATATTCTACTTTAGCTTTCCTGACTACGCAATTGTGAGCTTTGCAATTAATGGTCTTCCATTATTACTGATTATCAATTAACTCAAAAGGTTGCTGAGATTGTGATTGTGCTGAAGACTGCAGAACTTAATGCTATAATTTGAGATTGTTAGGACAGTAAATTTCTCTTGTTAATAATTAAAGGACATAAGTTATGTTTTTATTTATAACTTCCAGAAATATTCAACTCACTTCATTGCAATGTCGGCTAATCATCTGCTCATCAGGATCTGACTTAAGCTATTATATTTTATTAGTGACATACCTGGAATTACATGGAGGTTTTTATTTATATAAAATAAATATAATATTTTATTAACACATTAGTATTTCTGCCTTGGCCCTCTATAAATTGTGTTTATGTAACCCAGCCCAACAGAGAAACAAGAATTAAATGAATGAAAAATCCCATACAGTATTATTACCTGTTTCGATTTCCCAAATATAAACTGAGTCATCTTCACATCCAACAATTAGAAGATTCTCAACAGCATCCAATTTTATCATCTTCACAGGAAAGAGATGCTTTCTTGCATGCAGGAGACACACACCCTCCTGAAGATGTAGAACTGCTACTGAGTGATCCCTGCACACACAGCACACAACACTCTGATCTTTTAACTGCAAAAAGAGATTAGGAGCTTTAGTATCTGTCCTGCAAACACATTACATTCAGCCATATTGTAAATGAGCTTGGAAAATTTATCCAGATAATTTCTTTCCCAAAACATACTTATTTTTGGAAAGTGAGGCTTACTTCAGGTTACATCTCTAAACAGTTTTTAAAAGGTTGGTCATAAATTTAATCTCCAAACCAGGGCAGATACAGTCTCCTCTGCTTTTTCAAATGTTTTTAAAATAAACCATATTCACCCACAGTCAGAAATCGCCTATTAAAGGAGTAATTACACAATCAAGTATATGGTAACATTTGTCCCAGAAAAAGCAGTGAAAAATTACCTTAATTAAAATGCTATTCAAAATGAAATTTACTTCACGCTGCAAGGAACAAAAGCCAAGTGCAATGTATTTTTAGTGAAAAAATGGCGGTGTTACATTTTAATTTCACAATATATGAATCTGATCCTGCAAAGTCTTTTATTTCTGCAAATAATTTTTGGTAACACAGAGGAATTCAGTCTAGGGAATAAAATCAGCCCTGTAAAGAAAGCTAGAATCCAGTCCAAACACGTAATAAATACTATTTAGATTACAGAAAAAGGGCTGAGAGCCTTTATAAGAAGCATTAAAAGCTATTCTTACCCCCTACAAAGCAGGTAATCATCCCAAATCAGAGAAGCAACAAAAGACTCTTTAGACCATTTAGTGTCTCCACTTAACCGAACTCTAAGTCAGTACTGAATATGTGTAAGTATCGAGTATGTCCTTGTAGTGTTTAAAAAGAAATGGTGAGAATCCTGCCCCATGGAAAGCACAGGCACCTGCATTTATCTAAGGACTTGTCATACAGGAAAGATTCATTCTACCAAACTCACAATTTTTACTTCAGAACTCAATTATTTGAAAACTCTAAATATCATGTGAAACATAAGCATCTGTCAAAGGACAACACAAACATGTTAGGAATCAGGACAAAGTATAAATATTTATAAATACATTAATACTACCTAATTTATGTAGCAGTAATGAATACTATTAGTTCAAATATTCTCTTGCAACATTTAAATCCCTTTACTTTTTTAAAATATCAGAAACAAATTAGAATCAACATCTTTTAATGATATTCCATTTGCATTTTAATGCTGTCAATAAGGACTTGATATAGTCTTTTGTATCAGTTTTCATTCATTTCAGGATCACTGTAATACCCCCAACTAACAAGAAACTATCCCTCAAATTAATTCAAGTCACAATTAAGTGATTACTGAACGAAAAACAAAGGTAAGATACTACAGTATTGCCTTTTTTTTGTAATATATACACATATATTTATATGCAAGCATGTATCTTTTTATATATGTATTTAAACAACATTTTTCATGCTCTTACTTACTCTGTAATTTTCTGGAGGTTGCAACAGTTCTGTCACTGGACCAGAGTGAAGAGCAAACTGGTGTAAAATTTCTCCAGTAAATATATGCCAGCAGATCACAACAGAATCCTGGCCTCCTGATAACAACCAGCTTGGATCAAATCTTGCCAGTTTATCATGTGGATAAAGTAAACACGTTACTCTGCTACTATGACCATTCAGAACTTTGTAAGGTAGATTATCTGAAACAACAGGATGTTAAGTTATTTCTGTCCTTTAAAAAAAGTTTCAGATTTTACTGTACATTTGCTAAAAGTCAGGCAACTCAGATGAAATACAGCTAAGCACTTCCATCCAGAGTGTCTTAAGACAAGACATCCCCTTACATGAGATCACAGAAATTGAGATATTTGTTTCAAAAATGGAGGACACTCCTGCATTCTACATTGTCTACTGACGTTCCTTTTTTTCTTCATTCTGTGAATGATCTTTGAGAGAAAAAAATAGACTACTGCCCTCAGCATGACATCACATCACTTCAGGTATCTCTGCAGCTATTCTAGAGCAAGGATTCCTAGTTATACAAAAAAATTGGGAGCACTAAGCTGCTATTTGATAAATCAGCTGTAAAGAAAAATATCACAATCTTCCACTTTCCTTATTCAGTCCCTGATTACTATACCTTTTTAAAAATTATTTTGATTCAAAGGATTATGACAAGTATGCAGTCTTCTGTGCTTGATTCAGATGAAATTAGGTAGAAATATGTTAAAACTTACCTTTCGACACAGATGTGTTTTCTAAAAGTTTTGCTCTTAAAGTTTTTAAAGCTAGAGTTACAAAAATCTTCCCATTTTCACATCCACAAACCAGCTTATCAAGAGTGGGTATGTATATAGAGGAACTGATGACTGCATTTTCATTTCCATCTTCAAATGCACAGAGATAATCAATAATGCCCTCCGACATTGAATGGTGTTTATCAAAATTATCCTGTAAAGTCCAAGTTGCTGTAACTGGGATCTCTGGAAGGGAAACAAGAGTCAAGAATTACTGGTTTCAACTCAAAATAAAACTCAAACAAAATACACTTTCAGCTCTTTGCCATTTCCCCTATTTTACCCTTTCTGCAGCCTAAGAATTGGAACAGCAGCTGCTGACTTTACCTATTAGATCACATCTCAGCAAAATCCTTATTTTTATACCTCTTTATGAACAGCCATAAGCAGGACCAAAATTTCATGAGATTTAGTTGAGGTTTTTGTGGGCCAATGGAAAGGCAATAGCAACATTTACTCATGCAGTGCTGTAAAGAAACAATGCCTGTTTTATCTTTGTAATCATTATAACTGCACAGATGCATCCCTTTTTAGGGCAACAAACATTTTCATGTAAACTGACCTGTCAAAGACTTGACTTAAAAATGAAAAAAAAAAATAAAGTATCAAGTGTATGAATTGACAAACCTTTTGGTGAACCATCTAATGTTGAAACAGGGACATCAGGAACATGCCACAAGGTGATTCTTCCTGAAGCTTCACCAGAAAAGAGAACCTTATAGAAAGGTTCTTTCCTTTCATTCATAAAGCCCATAACAAAGGGGAAACTCTGCCAAAAATAACATTTAATCAGTATTTTAATACAGAAAAACTGACAAAGTTTTTTGACCTCAAAAGCTGTAGAAATTCTCAGCTGTGGCTAAGCTCTGCTCAGCCCAGGTCTACTCTGCAAATGCAAATCCCTCAAATATGAGCTGTGCAGCTTCGTTTAACCTACATACCAAATGCAAAATTCATATGAGGGTGCTCCTGCGGTGTACTGCCTTTATTAGAAGAATTTATCTACCTAGTTTCAATCATTCATTTCATTCAAGATGATATTCTAACATGATAATCTAAAATGACTTGTGAAGAAAATTGTTTAGTTGTTACATAAGCATCATTCCCAAATGCTGAGAAAAGGTGAGCTGCCTAAATAGAAACTTACTGGCAAAAAAGAGAGGAATACCCCCTCTTGGAAGTCAAGAAAATTACTAGTATTCAGGTAGGGTCTACATTAGCATGTTTTCTACCACATACCAGGAATGTACTGTGGAAGCGAATGCTGTGGTTCGCATTGTTAAACTGTCTTAGGAGCACAAAAAAAAATAATCAGGAATCCTTTTGGATCAAATTAAATGGAAAACATCTCCAGGAACACATCTACTGCATTGCAAGCACAAGTGGGGATACAGACCAGAAATTAGCCTGAAGGGTTGGAGGAAATAAACAAAAAATAGCACCCACAATTTCCAACGACTTTGCATGGATGAAACATCAGCAAACTGATCTGCTCTATACAAATTTACTACCTGATAATGTAGGCATTGCTTAAGTCTATTTGAAATTATAAGGCATTTTAATATTCTCCTGTTGGATTTATTTACAACACTGAAATTTGAAAGTGAATTACATAAAAAGAAACTGTAATGTGGCTTATGCAAAAATCTAAGAATTGAAATCAAAATAGGCACACACAGGCACTTTTGTTGAGCCACACTAAACGGCTATCAAAAATGAATCAGGCAAGAAGCTTGGTATTTGGGTGTAAATTGTGTCAAGCAACATTACTAAAAAATACAGACATTTTGGGAAAAGAATTACCTATGAGGTTCCTACCAACAGCACAGCCCTACTCACTAAGCCATGCACTTTAGCAATTCTATTTTCCTTCATGATGTAATGACCTTTTGGCAACCTTCAGCAGTTATCCTATCTGAATTTAGATCACAATTGTTTAGGGGAGAAACTGAATGGCATTGTCCTTCCAGTGAAAACTAAAGTCTGTCTGGCTTAGGAATAATATGCAACAAAAATGCTTCCTAAAAGTCTACACTTGCCAACAAAAAGAGAAAAAAAACATTAAAACAAAGAAATCCACACATTTGACAGTGCTTTAGTCAAACAAACAGGTTTATCTTCAGAAACTGTTTAATGACTTAAGTTCTCATGTAATACACGTACATAATAAGACTCAGCCTTAGTTCTAGTTCTAATTCTAGATAAAACTGTGATAAAATCTCAGATACACTTAATTTGTTGCAATCACATTTTTACCAAAGATCCCCTACTAGTTATTTTCTGCTTTCTAATTTTAATTCATTTTTCATCAGCTGTTTTTGCTCATCCACTTCTGTGGTCACACAAAACACTGGTCAAGATTAAAAAGTCATTCAGAAGCAGGCTTTTCAACACAGATGAGTCTGCTTGACCCACTTTTTGTCTAGTCAGCAACTAAATTTGAAATTTGTGTGACATGTCCAACTAAACATGAATTCTTAACCAGAAGAACTAAGTGCTTATCAACTACCCTTCCACATTTCTTTTCTTAAAAACAGAAGCTCTCCAGACACAGGCAAGAGTTTTGATAATTTTATGCACAGTGAACACTGCTAGTCTGCTCACAGCATGAGGAAGTATGTAATTATGCTTCTAATGCCTCACAATAGCTGTATTCTTGATAAAATGGTCAAAATTTAAAACCAACAGTTAGTATGAATGCATTTTGTAAGTAAAAGATCTTTCAGATTCAAACATTTATGCACATGAGGAACTGAGCCTATTCATTCAAGTCTGAAGAAACAGGCACACATTTACCAATAGAATAAAGATCAAGTAACTTGCATAAATTTTGTGTTTTTACAGACTTGAAGGGCTTTAAAATTACTCTATACCATATTTAATTTAAAATAAGCTTTTTTCCCCGAACACTAGAAGGCAGAAAAAAATCACTGCAGCATAGCTGAACCATATTTTTCCTTTTTCCCAACCCCAACATTTAAGTAACTCCAGAATTTAAGACAAAATACATTAGGAAAAGGTCCAAGTAAAAGATCAAAAAAACTGAAGTGAAGGAATAAGTTTTATTAACCATATTAACAATTAAATCAATTCCAAATAGTTTTCATCCTGATAAATTACAAAATACAAAGTAGCTTTTGGAGTTTACTTTAAACCTTTCTGATGTTACCTTATTTTCTTTCACACCAGTAGAGCAGAGCAAGTGAGGAAAAACTGTTTCTTTCAGCACTTTTCCATCAGCAGGATATATGCCTTTAGAAAGCCCACTGCATAATTTTAAAAAATAAGCTTTAGAAATTCATCTTTTTAAAAAGCAGAGCAAGTAGCAACATTCACAAGTTCAGTTAAAAGTTACTGAGTAAGTAATTACAAGTGACTTTTTGAAATCACAGCACCAGCTGCCCAAGTTCTACATGGCTAATCTTATTCCTGTGTCCCCCGCTGTGTCAAACAAAGACTGAGAGCTGTCAAACTCTGGGTAAATCTTTGAGTGCCAAAGTGCTTTTGTTCTGCTTTTTGATCATTTGCGACATGCAGAGATTTTCCATAATAAACCTCCCAAAGTTCATCTTGTACCTGAACTTTTAATGTGAATTTCCCATCTGAGCCCACCTGTTCAGCAGCTGGTAGATGTAGCTGTGACCATCTTCTGTCCAGATGATAAGTCTGTAAGCTGCTAGTACTTCTCCACCAGCAAAGCACTGACCGCTTTTGCAGAGTTCGGTACACAGCAAAGAAAAGTCACAATAATCGTAGACCTAAGTTCAGAAAAATGGCAAAAAACCCACAAAACTAACATTTATTTTAATTCAAACTGTTTTAGGGCAAAGGAACAATAAACAGAACATTAGCTTCACTCTTGGCAGTTTGAAGACCTCTTTCTAAGTTAAAAAATGTACTGGTACCAGCAAACTACTATAAACACAGAATCACACCATAAACTTATAAGATAAAGAAACTGCCAATAAGAGAAAAGCTGTATTAGAGGACTTTTCAATGAGAAAGAATTTACTTTGCATTCATTATTAACATCTACTGGATAAATTTTATTTCTTGTGTGGAGTTCAGTAATGAATTCACATTCTGACATTGAAGATTCCTCCATTTTAAATGCTCATATTCTTTAACTACTCTTTAAAAGATAACAAGGATGCAGCATGGTATCTATTAAAGCAGATTTTTCTGTTTGATCTCCGGATGGAAAGAACATTTTCTCACAAATCAAATGAATTAAAAGCAAACACAAGAATACTCAGCTCCATTTGATTGCAAGAATGCTTCTAGCTCTTTCACTTCTAGGGCCTTTAAAAATCATTGGAACTTTTTATTTAATGAGACTTTTTTATTTCATGCTCATGTCTAGAGCAGCTTAGTATATGATCTGCATATCCATATTGTTTGTGCTGTCGAGAAATGTTTCCTAACCATACATTGCATAATCTATTCCAATAATGTGAGAAAATATATTCCATAAAGAATTCCCTTTGGATTTTTCATACAAAACACAGAACTAGTTGGCTCTCTACCTTCCTTATATCAGTGGGTTAAGTATCTACTCTAAGCACACACTCCCCATATGGTACATCTCACATATCCTTAGGAGTAAAGCCAGAATAGAAAAGTTTTGCATACTCATTAAAACATAATTGTTAAAACTCCAGAGTAATTTATTCATCTATGCCACTACTTCAACCATTAAAATAGCTGCTTAAATGCATAATGGCGCATTACAAGAAATGGCATCTCTTGAGGAAATGCAGAAACTAATTAAAAACAGGTTACATATTTTTCCCAGAAAACCTATATGCATTCTGTACATGAATTGTGTCTATAAAAAAATCTGTATTAATGCATTTAAGTAGCATTAACAGGAGTGTCAAGGATAGCCTCCTAGGCATTACTCAAGGTTGATTTGGACCTATGCAAGTATTTCATTCAACAGCAGTGGCCTTTAGACCAGGTCCATCTGTTGCACTAATAGCTCAGGATTATCATAGTAGAATGACAAAGCACCAGGAAAAAGAAATGCAGAATTATTATAATGAAATTCAGGTTAAGAACTAAAAACACCACCCCCAATCCCAAACCTCTTTATAAACTGTAACAGTTTCAGCAGGTACGAGGCATTCATTTTCTTCTTACAGCTATGATAATGTCTGTGCAAGTGTGATAGCGTCTGTGCTCCTTGGCTTTGCTAGCTGCTATTAACAGAACAGAGGCTTCTGGCCTCAGCGGAACAAAGGCCCCTCATTACAGACAGCTCACTGACTGCCATCACCCCTGTCCTCCTTCCACAACTTTTGTCCATTAGTCTGCTTTTCCAATGCAATGCAGAGAGGACTATAAGGTCCTTTGTACTCTGAAAACATATTTCACTTTTCAACCAACATCATGTCAAATTCCTTTAAAGCATATTTATTGAGAAAAAAAATAAAACACTTGATCTCCGTCAGACAGTTACAGTAACTAGTAAAGACACACAGAACACTTATCTCTGATAATTACTGAAGTGCTGTTTCCTTTCATTTAGGGAGAAAAACACACACACACATATATATATATATATATGCAAGAATCAATCACATCAGTTTTTTCAAGTGTTATCAAATTAACGAAATTAAAGTAGTACAATGTTCAGTGATATACCTGCCAACACGTGGAAGACACAACTAGAAGAAGCCTCTCTGTGTAAATGCAAAAACGTATTGCTCGGCAGTTTACGCAGCCCAAAGATTTAGATTCCTTCTCGCACACACTCTGTCTCTCCTTTAAAATACAGAACACAAATCTCTGATTCATTCTAGATATGAGATCTTAGGAGAAAAACAGACTATTGAAAGTTATTTGATTAGCACACATTTTTCAAAATTCAAAGCAAGAGGTATTTTAGTAAGAGTGAGCCAGAAAGACAGCCAGGTCTGCAAACATAGACAGAAGGCATTCAACATGCTTCTTGGTTCTTCATCTCACTTGAAGTGATAATGAATATGGAGAATTAGAGGAAGGTCATGGATAGCATCTACTACACACATCCAATAAATATTCTTCAGTCTTGAGAACTACCCCCTGTATCAAAATATCTCAAAGAACAGCTACATTGGTCACAGAACCTGGTTGCTAGGCTAAAAGCTTGAGCAGAAATTCCACGATATCTTCGCACTCCACCTCAAATTCAATTAATTCAGATTAAATCCAATAAAATTAAAATACTAGTCCCTAACCATATAAAGCAATTGGTTTATTACCAACCGCACAGTCCTCCCCTCAGAAAAGAATGCCCAGGAAACGAAGAAATGGAAGCACAATGCTCACACATGCTTCTGTGATGTCTGTTTATGATCAGCTTCTACAGTCCCCAGAATATCAATAGTGTAATAGTACATTTTTCCCTCCTAGGGATAAAGTCACCAGAACATGGCAAATCAGCAAAAAAATACATATGATCACACATATAGCATCAAACTTGGCAGCATCTCCTGTGAGGCTTGATCCTATCAATTAACAAATACTGTTGTGATGTGCTCTGCAGCTTGTTTTATAAGGCAGTTATGTATTACGGATGTTCCAGAGAAAAACACTGCTGCCATTTTGCCATTTCTGATAATTCATAGTGTTCAACTGTAATAGAAAAGTCCCTTTGTGGATCTTAAAGTCCAATTCAAGCACAAAACATTTTATTCCAATTCTAGCCCTTGTACACATCTACAGTTGGCCACTGAGAATATTAACACAAATTGCTCAGAATAAGTGGACTTGAAGACAGAAAAATGGCATACTTGACAGAGTAAGGGGCACCTCTGAAAGAAGACAACATTGTGAAAGGCAGAGGGAGGCAAAGTCTAAAGGACTTTGAAGACAGAAGCAAGGATCAAGAGGAAATACAAAGGTGGACTTTTAAGGTGCCTTAATTATAAAGGAAGCAACTGAAGAAGTTCAGAGATCTGAGCGATACAGTCAGGTCCACAGAAAACCACTGTAACTTCAGCATCACAGAATATAGGAGTTAAGAAATTTGGATGAAACACATAGTAGCTGCCAAAGAAAGAGCTCTGCAATAGCCCAATACCCAGTCGGGTGCTATCGAGGTACATTTTCAGAGTTTTCTGGAAGCTTAGCAAGGATGCTAGTTTCTTCAGCAAGGACATACTAATTAGGTCTGTGTAATACATATTCAGAAGACTTATTCATATTCTGCTTCAGTACATCTTTTAGTTAATATCACTACGCTCTATACTTTACATTATTGTTCTAACTGCTGTTTCACATATCATGCACACTGACCTGTATGCTACTCAACGATGAGGACAAGTCCCATACTTTAAGATCTCCAGCTATGGACACTGCCACCAATGAGTCTTCTGTGAAAAGGTAACAACAGTCAATTTGAAACCAAGTTGGCACACCATGCCTCTATTGCCAAAGAAAATCTTCACACAGGCACTGCTGCTCTGTGCAGCACTAAAATAGACAAATTCTGCAAAGTTCTGTTCACATGAGAAGATCACACAGAATTTGTAGGCAGGAATTCAAAATGTCAACAAATTCTCATTAGCTGTATTTCATTCAATTGCCTACACTTGACTAAAATACTATAAAAATCGCTTTACACACAATTTCCCTGGCATTACAAGATTATTTTGTCATCACAGCCAAGTGAAACTTTAATAACATTAAAGATATTATAAACATGTTCAGGCAATTACACTGCAATATTTACATCCTGTATTCAACAGTTCTGTAGATCATGTATATTTCTAAGTCCAGTAGGATTGTACTATGTACATGGAGATATTTTGTCTTAAATGATTGGCCTATATAAATATATGCTCAATTTATACCTTGAATTCTTGTAGAGTGAACAATACACATACAACTGATCCAATCAGAATACTGAGAAGATGTTAAAGTGTGCAGAACACTCAAAGTCTTCGCATCAATAATAAGAACATCTTGATATTCTCCACAACAAAGCAGCCAGCCTTCACCTGTCATTCGGAATGAGCAATGGTAATACTGTACAAGTGGAAAGAAGATAGTTAGACAGAACTGCAAACATGTGCATGCATACTATTTTTCTCTTCATGGCATAATGCAATTCCAACTGTACTTAACATTAGTAACATTACTAAAACCTTTATAAATCTGCATATGTGAGAATGTTTGTGCATAATTTTGCTATTAACACATTCTACATATTTATAACAATTTAACACAGACATATACCTTAGAGTTGCTTCATACCAAAAGCATCATCTGCTCTTGCCAACTATTAGCCTTTTTGGAAGTGATCAAGGGGTTAGCTTTCATTTTAAATTGCTAAACAATCTGGGACTTATTTCTCTGAAAGACCTCTTCTCTCTCTAAACATGTGATTTTAAAACAGTTCCAAAGAAGAATGTGAAGGGGGGAGAGTTGCTGTATGGTAAAAATGAGCAGGACTCATAAGTTATCTTCCAGGAGGGAACTCCCTGAGCTATTTACTATGAAATCAAATGCCCTACAGATTTCCTGGTATTCAAAAGTTTTTCCTTCTCAACAACCGTATAAAGAAAGGAAACAGACACACAGCAAGGTACTTAAGAACAGAGATGCTCATTAAGTTTGGAGGGGGAAAAGATTTTGGTGTTTCAATGTATACATGCAAGAACATGTGGATTTTGTGCCATATTTGTCTGTAAAAGTACAATTAACCACTTTAAATTCAGAATCTGCTGCTTCAAGTAGAATTTACAAACAGCATCCTTTACAGAATTAACATAATCAAAAGAAAATATCACATGGCCATACAAAATTATGCCTCAATTATTGTAAACTCTCAATTTTAGTTAGACAATTGTTCTCAATCTATAAGTTAACTATTTCAAGTATGAAAATGAGAAGATGTGTACGAAACTGATCTGGGAAAAGGATATATATCCCCACAAATAGTGAATTATCAGGAACAGAAGTACTTAGATACAGCAGCCACTTGTAGTTACTGTTAAACTTGAACTGGAAGATTTGGACAGTCAGTCAATGTTCTAAGAGGAGGAGATCCAACATTTGCTAAATAACAAAAGATTAAGAGGCCTTTTGATCCTTGTGTTACACTTCATTTCAAATGGCAAGCATTCAACTTGCACATCTGCCATTTGTAGCTGATTCATATATGCTAAACAGAAGGAACCTACCAAACCAGATATGCAAAATATTCATTAGAAACAAAGCAGTATTTTTTAAAATGGTTATACTAACAAAATCAGTTTGTGCTAAACCTCCAGGACAATAACCTTCTATAGAAAATACTTTCACAGATATTCTGCCAGAAGCAGCCCATTGCCCTTGATCAAAAATCCTTTATTACAAAAATCTATGCTTTAAGATAAGTTTCTTGTCCTAGTCACATCTATTGCTTTCGCTTAATTTTGCCTTTTTTATGGTAATATTTTCCTTTAGCCATCTTGTCAACACTACAAGTCAAGAACCATTATCTATCCAAAACCAGACTTAGTCTATTTCAACTCCTAATAAAGCGGGGGTTCTCTACGTTTCATAGAAGAATTTGCTTCTCCTACTCAAAGAGTTAAAGAATTAAGACTCCACCTCTGATATCCACAAAATGCACAAAGATTCAGACAGTCTCCTAGGCCAGATCTGTTTCTGTTTGTCTGCAGAACTTCTTCAGAACTATAGAAATCTAAGTAAGAAATAAAGAGAACAACTCATACTGGGTCTCTAGGTATATTACTCTGCATTGTTAAGAATTCTTCTATAATTGTTTTAATTATAAATTATATTTAATAATTTAATATTTTCAATTATAATTTGAAAACTTAATTTTTTCTCTCCATCATTAACCATGATTGAATTAAAAATTAAAATAATATCATGGAAAAACTTATTATTTATGGAGGCTTTGAAATATTTGAATTCTCAATTTGTCCACAGTTTAAAAGTCACAAGAGAGTTCAAAGTAGTCTCGAATGTCCATCATTTGGAGGCTTAAATTCATCTAGGCTTCCTCACCCAAGAAAAACAACATTTTAATTAACCAAGTAGCCCAGAGCTGTTCTTTTGCAAATATATTCAGAAATAATCCACGTCTCTGAATAAGATCCATACATGCTGGGCTCCTAAATTACATACACACATTTCACACACCCTCACACCAAAATCTACATAAAGTGTATCCGTATAGAGTTCACAGCAGATATTTGAAAGTATCTGAAGAAAGATGTAAAGCAATTTGGTTTCCGAAAATAAGCCACTGAAAAGGGAATAGAGCAGTCTTCTAAAAGTTAGCAGTTAGGCAATCAAAATCTTTCAAGTATGTTTAAAAAAAATCAACTATTTATTAAATTGCCTTCACAATTGCCTAGATTGGTTGCATATATATCCTTAAAAAGTCAACTTTAAACTTGACATTTCCATGTAATTTTAAAATAGGACAACAGTGAAGATAACAAGACAGTTTCAATTTCTACTACTACCTGATGCAAATGAAATGGTATTACATTCCAGACATTTGCGGCTTAAAAAGGATTAGTTTGACTTGATTAAGAAGTACAAATACAGAAGCTTTAGTTTCTTTCTTTGAAAGAATTGAAAAAAAGAAAAAAAGAGGTAAAATTACTTATATCACAACCAATTTTTCTCCCATGATGTTAGGAACTATACATTTCTGAACATACTACAGTATGAAAGCATGAACTGCATGAACCAAAATATTTCATGAAATCAGGTATACTTACACAGATTGCTGTATGCCTATAAGGAAGCTTTGCGTTCTCAACGGACTGTCCACTAGCCACATTCCAAACACACATCTCCCTGCCAAAGATAACTTCGTATTATTCTCTGTCATTTCCACTCAATTGGCTGGAATAATTTTGTGCCACCAAGTTTTTCTTTAGTGTCGTACTTAAGTGCAGTCTGATGGCTTATGTGGCCTTTTGGTAGAGATTACTGGGTAAAAAAAACGTTGTGGTCATTAGCAGGGGATGACATACAGTATCTGTTTCTTTTTGTTTTGGTAATTACACCCTGCTGCCTTGAAGCAAACCTGACTTCAAAGCCAACTCTGGTCTACAACAAATTGTAGGTATACTGCCATTATGGCTCGTCAATGTGTCGCTATAACTATCATTCACTGCAACTACATCCTCCGAAAGTGATTCATTTCACTGAACTTAAACCACATGTTCTGAAAGACATCATGCATCTTCTGCTGCAGCACACTAGTTCTTGATATGGACCATCAGCTTCTGTTAAGAAACAGTGCCACCATGAGGATCTTCCTCAAGTCTGTTACTGATACAGCACTTGTCTGTGTTAACAGGTATGTTTACACAACATTTTAGCTACACTTTATTCCCTTTAAGGTTAATACTTGAGAAAAACTTGTTAGCCAGCCTTCCTCATCTAAATATTCAACATACAAGGTCAGAGTTTATTAGAAACACAGTCAAGTTAACTTACTCATGCAGTTGCATTTGACACTTATCATAGCTCAGCAACTGAACATTACAAAAAACCTAAAAATAAAGTTTAAACTGGAACTACTTTCATAGCTGAAAAGATCGTTTTGTGATTTTCAGATATTATATTTTAAGGCATTTCTAGAAGAGAACTTAAACACTGGAGAAAAATGTTTTAATATGCCAGAAATGCTATTTAATGATTTACATTTTTATCTACTTTCATATTTTATAATAATCTAAAAAGATTACTTTGAATTTTTCAGGTTAGCAAAGTAATAAAATGCATACATCTGTAGTATACAGTTACATTTGTAGACCAAAAGCCTACAAAGTAAACTTTTGTGCTCTTTAAAGCCACTGAATTTGTTTGTATCAGAATATATGACTGTCAACCCTACTGCTTTGTCTACATCGCCATGACATACAGGCAAATATATAGAAGTCAGATGAACATAAAGGGTTTCTGCATGCTGTACTGAAAATGTTGTATTGACTCTGCTCTGCACCAACAAGAAAAAAATGAAATACTGTTAAAGTTGCACATTGATAAACCCATCCTACAATACATGCTATATAAATGCACATAACATGCTAGTGGAAGCTCTTTAATTACTGTACATGAGCTTCAAGGTTTCCCTATAAAGTATAAAAATACTATCAAATATTCATCCTTCTGGAATAAATCAGTTATACAAAGACTCCAGAGGTTCTAAAGTAGGATGAGGGAGTAACTCATACACAATTTCCTCAACTCCAGATGCAAGATGATGGAAGCTTTAAAGTGGCAGAGAAGTAAATGATTCACAGGCCTTAAAAAACACCTTTCAACAAACCCTGCATTTCCTGAAGATGAAGCATCTTATTTCTAATTAGTTCATCTTCATGCTGTAACCTTCCAGGCACCAGTGATGGACACTTTGCCCTTCTGCAACACAGAAACTTACTAATCAGTTCAGTGGTAGAACTTTCAGAATGTGAACATCTGTATACTATCTAGAGCAAAAACCTCATTTTTAATGCTTTTTATCCTAACATTTTGAAAATACATTATCTTTTTCCCCATATAATGTAGAAACAGTATAGAACTTCAAAATTAAAACAATTTCAATTCCAATTCCATCGTCTTTTCCCATTCCTTTCTGCACATAACTATTTACCACTACCTCCTATAACCTCTTCAGGGGGGCAGCCAAACCTTTGGTTTTTAAGGAGCCTGGTCCGGTCTGTTTAGTTAACCCCTTGTTGCATAGCCATGATCAAATGAGAGACCAAGATAGAGATCTTAACAGCTGGAGCTGGTTGGAAAGGAGAATAAACAAACTTCTCAGGGGAGAAACCTTAAGGGCCTGGACGCTGTAGCTTGGAACTATTCCTGTCAACGGGCTTTTAACAGAGCTGTCCTGTTAATCGGAAAAGACGAACATAAGTGACAAGATAATACCATCAAGATGTAAAACAAAAGCATTTAGGAAAAGCTCTAAGGAACAAAGAAGCTATCCCTGATTGCTTTCAATGGCTGAATTCCTAAGCAATGTACAGGCAGCAAACCACAGCCAAAAGGGTTATCAAATACTCCAAAGTTCTTAGCACAAACCTACCAAGACTGCAAAACGAGTGCAATTGAAACCACAGACCCAGTCAACATAGCAGAGAAAGGCTGTAAGATTGGAAACTCCCAGAAGGAAATACTCTAAAACGGCAAGTCAGACTATAAAGATAGGTAGTGCGCACTTTTTATTTAAGAACAATCTCTTCTCTGCTTCCAGATCTGATCACTGAACAATAACAGATACATTAACCTCCTTTACTGATTCAGTTTTCCACACTGAGTTTAAGGAGGAACGGAAAAAGGCATCATAATGCTAAAATACTCCTAAACATGTTAAATCTGCCCTACAACCTGTCTGACTGCAACTCCATTTGAATGAGGCTAACCGACTCCAAACAACTCATTCTCCTCACAACTACATGGGTATCAATCCGCCAAATGATTCCGCAGTCCACAAGATGAACTCTTGGCTAGCTTATAGCATATGAGCAACAGTCATTATCCTAAGAAAACTGCTATCCTTTTCAGATCATGGAATAAGTGGATTAAAAATCTCCTATCAAGTGAAGAATTTGATCTGCACATGCCACACATTTCATAATTCAAGAAAGGAATAATCAAATATTCGGTTACCTACCCATTTTCAGCAGCACTTACTACATATGGCTGTTTTTCAAAGTCCCTTGCTTTTGCCAAACAAGTTACAGAAGCAGTATGGCCAAACAGAATTTCTTTAGATGAAACCTGGAAGAATAATAGTTTTACTTAAAAATAGCATTTGCTGTATAAATTGAGATCTAAAACCACAGAATACTACTTGTAGAAGTGATTATGAGTTCTCGAGCTGTCTGTATTATATTCTCATGTTCCTCAGCTACGTTTCTGCAATGTACAAAACTCTGCCTCTAGGATCTACACAGTTTGCACAAAGGCAGCAAAAAACAGACTTTGCAAGACTGGAGTCTTGACACTGTTCATTCTAAAGGATTTATGGGACTTCAAATGTTATAAAATGGAATATTTGTCTTTCACCTGTGTGCAAAAGGAGGCGAAGAGTGAAGTAATGAACAGACAGAAAAAAGCTCTTAAGCATGTTTAATCTTTTTGACTCTGGTGAGCTTCACTGTATGTACAGTGCATCTTTATGGGAAAACATAGCCTGATAAAGGTAGTTCCAAGCTATACCAGGATGCTAAATGGCACAGACATCCAAAAAGAACAGAAACAAAGCTCTAGGAACACAAAATAGGAAGTTTAGATTGCTTTAACTGTTCCATTTTTAAGAAAAACAAAATGAAATTGAGCCAAATACCAGTGGTATGCCAGAAGAGTCACAGATATATATCATATATATTTCATCTCATATCCAGCTTTCTATAAACATTCCTGTTAAACTGGTAGGGCACTCTGGTTTCCCAAAGGTTTATTTGAAAATGTCAAATGTGTCTGAAATTAAAGTTTTTTAAGATATTATTTTTAGGACAGGAATCATAATTACATATGTTTACTTGCTCTCACTCAGCAGACAAGCTATAACCTATAGTTCAATGATTACATATGAAACATCTGCAAATAACTAGTTCCCTACGCAGACATACCATTTTACGTTTTTGCTTCATGAGTTTCCCGTAACAAAAATCCCACGATATTTTTAATATTTAATACAAGTACAGTAGCCTAGATAATACCACTGTTAATAAGATGAAAATCCAATCTACCTAGCAGACTGTAATACAGTAGACACAAACCTTTAATTCTGATGAAAGATCCCAGAGACATATTTGCCCTTCTTGACTTCCTGTAACAATTGTCTGCTGGTCATCTGTAATCATAATGGCTGTGATGCTGTGAGAGGGAGCTATTTTCCCCCACACTGCCACAGCCTGCATTGATACCTTCATAGTCAACACCTGCAAACAGAAACAAGTCAAGATGATTTTTAGTAGCATGAAACCATCCAGGAACATCTGAAAAGGCTGGTTACAAGATAGTTCTCCAAGGAGAAGTTGCGAACAGGTTTTGAAACCTTTTTTTCAGTTGAGGCTAGTATCTTACTAGGTCATTTATAGATATGTTATCATGCAAAATCAAAATGTACAGCAACTCTGTGACGGGCAACTATAATTTCCCCGTAATGCCACTGTAGTAAATGCATATACTATCAAAGAATACCAAAATTACTAAGCACCATCACCATTCCAATAGTGAAATACATATAGCTGCAACACAACCTGTTCTAGTTCTGCCAGGCCCATTTCATTTCAATTTCTGGTTGGTGGTGGAACATACTGTGTTTCACCTTCTCCTCCAAGCCAGCAGTACTACTCATTCTCAGCAGCAAATTGCTATAGCACTAGGAGTCAGTAAAAGCAAAACAAAAAGCAAATAATATTTTAACACTAGTGTCTTTACATGCCAGATTCTTACACTATGCTGTTGGTGCTTGGTGCCTGTATTAGATCAAAGGCAAACAATTGCCAAATATTTTGGAGACAGCTCTGGCTCAAAACTCCCACACTTATTTTACCTTTAGTATGCTACAGCATTCTGCACTCCTTGTGCCCGTATCATGGCTCTTCTTTCTTTTTTTTAAGGACTGTACATAGGTGCTGGGAGATTATAAGTCACTCCTATCTCCCTTTCCTTTCAGCTTCCTACAGAAAATTCCACAAAATTTTTGCCTGCTCATAACTATTGCCATGGAGTAAGGATAAGGGGGCATAAAGTGACTTCTCTAAGTCTGAAACTGTCTTAAACTTTCCTAAGAGCTATTTTGTCTACTAGCTGCTCTGGAATGGGATCAAAAAGAGATTACTCATATTTTAAATCAAATGTTTATATGCACCTCAAGTAAAAGAAAACAAGTCCAAATAACAGTAGGTGTTGACTAATGATTTAATGATGACTAAGCAAAAAGAAACAAGGAGTTTAATCTCTTCAGATGCAGCGTTATGCAGGGTCACTTGAGTCTCAAATAATGCATCTTAATTGCTCTTTTCAAAATACTGTATGCCACCTATTTTTCAGCAAAGAGACAACAGTAGCACTCCAAAGCTTCAGAGCGGCCACTTAGCAAAATTTACCACTGGTAAGATATGCTCCCATGTGTCCTGGAGAAGGAGGGAAATAATACCCTAGCAATCAGAGATTTAAAATGAAACAGGAGCCAGTAACAAGTGTTACAGCAGTGGAGCTAAGAGCAAAAGCAGAAATCTCAGGAAAAAGGAGGGCCTGAAGAGTCACAGACAGCTAAGGAGTAACTTAGGAATGACCCAAGGCATGATCTGCAGCATCTGCTGATGGAGCCTTGGGAAGTGACATGAAGAAAGGCAGCTCCTGTATTCAGAACACAAACCAGGAACAATTTATAGAGGTTGCTTTTTATGTATAATCAATCTGGGAGACAAACCCAGTACTAACTCCCAAACAGTAGCAGCTTAGAGTCAGCAGGGATACAGACAAGAGATATACAGTCCTTACTATTTCTAAAAGCTTTAACTGACACAGAACTAGAGGGATGGTCTTAGTTCCTCACAAGGACCCGAGACAAAGGGCTCATTCACTGAGAAAAAGAGCTGGCAAGTCAAGGTAGAAAGACTTAGCACACGACCTTAGTCAACAGGTTCAAAGCAGAGAACTTAAAACTTGACTATCAATCGATTATGAGACTAAGTTTTCTAGGCTAAAAAGCATTAAATTTCAAGATCATTGTTTGTCAGCATACATGAGAATATTGAAAGACACTTAAGATTTTAACTTCAGAATTGGCTTTTCTAAAATTTATTTTTAAATTTCACATCACAGAGTATTATACCCAGTAGTAAAGAGCAAAGCCCTTGTCCCTTCTAGTTAGCACAAAATGAAAGTCATTTTAGCACAACTCTAAATACATTTACAGGTCCTTTAGAATGGTGACTGTCAAGTAAGTTTAATGTAAGGCAAGGAGTCTTGTTTTTTTGTTGCATATCAGTCATTTACACTTGTGGCATAGGAATGTTCTATTAGTGTTAAATACCATAAGGAGGTAGAATTGAGGTTTACACTGAATTCAATACAGAGTCATAAATTACATTTTCCTACAAAATTAAGGGCAGTATTTTCAGTAGAAGACCTACTGCTAAGTGATGAGTAACAACTACAATAGAAATACATCAAATGTGTACATCAAAAATAAATGAAGAACTGCAAGAAAGCCTTTGAAACTTGCTATTTGCAGACATCGTTACGGACTTCCATGTCACTAATTAGCATACAGCAACTATTGCAAATACATTACATATGTAGGAGAGTATATTTAGAATGTAATTTTGCAAGAACATTTTCAATTTGTCCCATTATACTGGCTGAACCGAGACACACAAAATATTGAATTACTTTTCAGTTAACTTTTCTTCTGGATTAAGGTATTTTGATGTACAAGATAAAAAAATATTTTGCATAAAAGTTTCTTCTCTAAGAGGTTTCCTAGAAATACTATATACTCATGTGTGCACACATTCACATTTTGTCTGACAGTATTTAGCTTTATCAAAGCTATTTTGTGATACTGATGGCACCTAGAGCAAAATTTCTTATATTTTATCAACAGATATTTATCAGACTATTCCTTGGAAAAGGTAAAATGTTTGCACAAAGTCGAATACTGCCCAAGGCATATCTGTGCTACATGCAGCTTATCAGCACATGTTAAACTTCTCCAGCTCTGCCTGCTCAAGCATGTCTGATTCACAGTATTAACCCATAATCCAACTTTAATAAATCAAGTTCCTCACTCCTGCTCCCCATTCCTCCCTGCTTAAAATCTTGTTTTCCCTGGTCCTGCTACAGACCCTCATGATTATACTACCATGAAATACTTCCTCAGAGCTGTCCAAAAAGCAGTGTTCTCAGTTAAAACTGTACCAGGTTATTCTGCTTCTAATTTGTCACACCTTGACTATCCTGTTCCTAGCTCTATGAATTTCCCTACCTACAGTACTAGCTACCTCTGCTAACCAGGCTTTGCTCTCCTGACAAAAAAGGCAGCTGGGCTCTCAGCAGGGGTCATCTCAGTTTCCAGTATCTACTACATAAGTGCAACTTAAACACAGACACACATCTGTCCTGCCTTTTCACAAAACAATCCTCCATAGGCAGGTGGTTGGAAACACAGATTAGAGCTTAAGTTTAACTAGAATGCAGGTGTGCATGCTCAGTGATTTGAAGTGAAAAATATGGGTTCTCTTTTGCCTCCATTTAAATCTATGGCTTACTTTTCTCATTGGCCTTCACATTTACACAGAATGCTCAAAGAAGAAACTTTCCTATATGAAATCCCCTGAAAATGTTAACTTATTAGCTAAAGTTAGAAGAATCCTATTTTTACATATAGAAAATACATAACAACTTTAAATGCAGTTTTCAGATTTCAGCAGTTCTCACTGGTGACACACACACACACACGTAAGGCCTTTAAAACTAGCACTCAGAAATATTCAAACATTCATGCAATAAAACACTGATGGGGAAATCTACTTCCCATAGCTATCTATCAATCCCTGACAAAAATTTCCAAACAGAATTTTGTATCTTATTTAGGCAATGTGGAGGCCAAGGGGAAAAAAATATCTTTGCATGCAAAAAGATCTCTCTATAGGTAACAGTCTGTCAGAAACCCTCTTCTGGGTTGACATTTATATTTCATGCTTCCTATGATTCTCTATAATCCATGCAAGATCAAGTGTTTCAAAACCTAAACAAATAGCGTGTAAACCAGTGTAACCATAAAATAAAGCAGAAATTGTTGTCTGTGCTTAAAACACATAACTGGTTGCATTGGATTAAGGATTCAAACATTTGGGGAAAATAGGTTATATGGACCAAATCAATTAAAAACAACTTCTACATAATTTCACAGGAGCAGCATGTGCTGTCTCCATCTAGCAAAACCGTTTGCCTCTGTTCTACCTCTCAGCCAAATTTGTTTGAATCCTTAATTTCTATTTCTATCCTATTTTCGTATTTCTGTCTATTCTTCAGTTTTATCTGACATTCTTTTACCTACTTTGGCAAGAAAACAAAAGCTCTAACAAGTTTTTTTTTTATACTGTTAGTAAACTAAAGCTAATTGTTTTCCATAAAAGTGGTTTTTACCTCAAGCTTATGAGCCAGTGCACATTACTCTCACACCTTCTGCAAAATTTCAGTGTAACTGTTACAGTTTCTTTAAGGACAATAGGTAAATATAATTTTCAGAGCTGAGAAATTTTATTTATCCTCCCCCCACAATAAAAAACAAGTTCCTCCAAAAAGCGTAAGTAATATTTTATCCATAACTAAAATCTTCTAAAAATACGGAAGGGACACAGTGTTGTCTTTGACTGCAGGCATACTACATCAATGCTCATGATGCTGCTCACAGATTTTCCCCTTATATAAGTCGCTATTCAGAAGCTGTTTCTTATCTATGAATCCGAAAATACAGGTCAAAAATATTTTGCAATTTGTAAAACAGCAGGATACAAGTGCATTCATGTAGGTGTGAGCAATGGAATAAATTAGAAAATAGAAATGCCGTACTGAGAGGCTTAATGGAAATAGTGTGGAGGTACAGTGGCTACAGGGAAGAAGACAAGGAACATAATATAGGAAACAGAAAAATGATACACGTGGCAGGGTGAGAAGGGGATAATTATTCCAAGGATATTACAGACACTGAACACAAAGATTATAAAGACGAGGAAAAGGCATTTGAAGTCATTCACAGCAAAAAGTAAAACAAAGGTTTATCAAGAGATTTCTGAAGTTTTATTAACAATAGAGTAATATCACACAATAGAACTAATAACTGACTCCTTTAAGACAGGGAACATCAAAAATGTTTATCTGAAATATTTTTCTTCATTTTGTAATCAGATGGCAG